CTTTTCCCCATAACCCTTGATTCCCTGCCTGATTAAAAATCTATCCATCTAAGCCTTGAATATCTTAGCATCCCAGCATCTATAGCTTCCTGTGGTACAGAATTCCACACATTCACTATCCTCTGAGAGAAAACGTTCCTCCTCATTTCTGACTTAAATGAACCTCTTACTCTGAGATAATACCCTCTGGATCCCACAAGGAGAAACAACCTCTTGCATCTACCCTTCAAAATCCCCTAAGAATCCTATAGATTTAGTAAGATCACTTCTCATTCTTCTAAACTCCAATGCGTACAGGCCCAATCTACTTATCCTCCACTCATAATAAAATCCCTCCGTGCCTGGGATCAACCTGTGCGCCAATGGTCAGGAATTGAAACTCAAAAAGGGAAGAATGAATCATGGCCTCCCCAGCTTGCTCATCACACAGAAATCAGCTCTTTATAAACAAAATAATTCATTCAATTAGAAAGAAAGAACATTTTCACAGAGTGAGTAGAAAGAGTATGGAATGAGCTGCCTGGAAGTATGGGGGAGGCAGGTTCAATTGAGGCATTCAAAAGAGGCAGTGGATCGCTATTTGCATTGAAATAATGTGCAAGGGTTCAGAGAAAAGGCAGGAGATTGGCACTAGGTGATGGCACTCATTTAACGAGCCAGTGCAGGCCCAATGGACTGAATGGGCTTCTTCTGTATCATAACACTTCTGTGAAGTAAGGGCATCAGGCTTCCTTTCCTAAGGGACACTAGAGAACGAGTTGGATTTTTAACAACAATTGATTACGTTTTCAGCATAACTGAGACTAACTCATTTATTAAATTCCCTCGCGTAGGGGAGTTGAAAACTAAAGGGCATATTTTTAAGGTGAGAGGAGAGGATTTAAAAGGGGCCTGAGGGGCAACGTTTTCACACAGAGGGTGGTGCGTATATGGAATGAAGTGCCAGAGGGGTTTGGAGGGATATGGGGCCAAGTGCCGGCAGTGGGACTAGTTTAGTTTCGGAACATGGTTGACATGGATTGGTTGAACTGATGGGTCTGTTTCCAGACTGTATGACTCTATCTGATTGAAGGAAATGATAGGAAATCCTGGAATTCCCTCCCCAGTGACATTGTGGGTCAACCCCACAGCAGGAGGAGTGCAGCGGTTCAAGAAGGCACCTCACCACCACCCTCTCAAGGGGCAACTAGGGACGAGCATTAAATGCTGGCCAGCCACTGACGCCCAAATTACACCAAAAAATAAAAATGTTACAATATTTGAAAGACATTTGGCCAGCTATGTGGATAGGAAAGGTTTAGAGGGATATGGGCCACGTTCAGGCACATTAGACTAGTTTAGTTTGGGAGACCTGGTCAGCATGGATGAGTTAGACTGAAGGGTCTGTTTCCATGCCATATGACTCTATGCATTTTGATTCCACTGGTTTGGGATTTGAACCCACATTCAGAAAGTATTAGCCTGACATCGCCATGACACTATGGTCTTCTGTCCATCAGCTAGTGAGCCCCACCCTTGGAAAGCGTGAAAGTGAAATGTTTGCTGAGGATAAGTGGGTAGCGATGCTCACTCACAATCAAGCATCCCATTCACAGTCCGGAATTAGCCAAGGCCAGGGGGACCAGAGCAAAAACAGTTCCTGCACACATTACTTCAGGGGTCTCAGAAAGAGAAGTTCCCTTGTCACATTTCCCAAGGAGCTCTGTTCACTCTGGGAGGCAGCAGAATGGTCTCAGCTGGTGAACAGAGACTGAGCCTAACTGCACAGTGACTGCAGAAGATGGTGGCTCAGGGGTAATATCACTGGGCTTGTAATCCAGGAGCTGAGGAAAATGGTCTGGGGGCCCAGGTTCAAATCCCACTACAGCAGTTGGTGGAGTTTAATGATCAATTAAATCCAGATTAAAAAGCCAGTTGCTGTGATTGTTGTCTGGTGCACTAACATCTTTTGAGGGTAAAGGAAATCTGCTGTCCTTACCTGGTCTGGCCTACATGATAAATGATCATAGTAAACTCTTCAGTCCAAGGGATGAGCTGCTCTTGCCAGGGAGTCCACTTTACCGAACCAGAGAATTGCTCCAGTGTAGGAGGCCATTCAGCCCATTATATCTCACTCATTACTGAATGCCAATCTCCTGCCATTTCCCCATATCACGACACACTAGTTAGAGTCACACAGCATGGAAACAGACCCTTTGGTCCAACTTGTCTATGCCGACCAGATATCCTAAATCAATCTAGTGCCGTTTGGCCCATGTCCATCTGAACCCTTCCTATTCACACACCCACCTAGATGCCTTTTAAATGTTGTAATTGTACCAGCCTTCACCAATTCCTCTGGCAGTTCATTCCATACACACACCACCCTCTGCATGAAAACATTGCCCCTCAGGTCCCTTTTAACTCTTTTTTCTCTCATCTTAAACCTAGTTTTGGACACCTCTACCCTGGGGAAAAGACCTTGACTATTCATCCTCTCCATGCCCCTGATGATTTCTATCCAAATGATGATTGAATGCCTCAGTTAAACCTGCCTCCACCACTATTTCCAGGCAGTGCATTCCCAACTCTAACTACTTGCTGTTTGGAGAAGCTTTTTCCTCACATCATTCCCCATGAAAGAATAAAGGACCTGGCTGAAAGGTGGTTTGAATGAATGTGAGTGATCAGGAGTGGGGGTTCAACTGAAACATTCAAAAGGAAACTGGATTGTTGTCTGTTAAAGCAAGAATGGGCAGAGCATGTGGAAAAGGCAGGAGAATGGCACTAAATCAATTACTTGCCTTGTGGCACAGTGGTATTGTTCCTACGTCTGGGCCAGTAGATATGGGTTCAAGGCTCCCCCCCACCAGCTCCAGAGGCGTGTCATTATGTCTCTGAACAGGTTGATTTTGAAAAAAGGGCTCTCTTTATTCATTCACAGGATGAGGGCATTGCTGCCTAGGCCAGCATTTATTGCCCAGAGGGCAGTTATGATTCAACCACATTGCTGTGGGTCTGGAGTCACATGTGGGCCAGACCAGGTAAGGATAGCAGTTTCCTTCCCTAAAGGGCATTAGTGAACCAGAGGGGTTTTTCTGAGCAATTGGCAATGGATTCACAGCCATCATTAGATTCTTAATTCCAGATATTTTTATTGAATTCAAATTCCACCATCTGCCGTGACAGGATTTGAACCCGGGTCCCCAGAACATTATCTGGGCTTCTAGACTAATAGTCCAGTGATAATACCACTAGGCCGTTGCTTATCCTACTCATGTAGAGAACAGGTAGAGAAATGATGGGCTGAAAGTTCTCCTTCTGTGCCATACTGATTCTGGGAATGTTTACAATCCACTGTTAGCTTTTCCCATCCTCCTTGAGGCACTGAGTGGGGTTTGTAATTGGTGTCCCAGCATTACAATCCCATGTTCCCTCCCAGCATCCCTGGCCATATGCCTGTGGCTGTGGAGAGAAAACTGCCTTCACAAAACCCTGCCCTAATGATGGCCTCAGGAACTGACCATGTCCCAGATGTCACAATTATTGCTGTCTAGCAACTGGGAGATACTAGTTGCTGCATCCCTCTGTGCCTTAGTATTGTTATAAAAATATAGAGGAAGGATATATAATCCAAATTAAATTATATTTTCAATTTAATTTTCTCTCTGTTCATCTCTATCAAGGCAGGAGTGAAATCCGATTGGCATCCACTTTTATTAGATTTGCTTCATATCTCACTCTCATTCTTTTAGGCAATTCAACTACAGAAGGCATTGCAGTTTGATCTCACCCTGGATCCATGAGTGGAGTTTTGGGGAAGGCGGGGAGAGGGTGCATGTGGGTGAGAGTCTGGGCTGACGGTGGAGGGGAGAGGGTGCGTGTGGGTAAGAGTCTGGGCTGATGGTGGGGTTGGGGAGTAGGAGCAGTTATTGGTTGTACACAAGAGTGCATGGACTCCTCCATTCCTCCTGTCTGCAGGTAGGAGTGGTCTAGGAGCAGAGGGCATTGTCTCAGAATAAAGGGGCATCAATTTAAGATTGAGATGAGGAAGAATTTCTTCTCTCAGAGGATTGTGAGTCTTTGGAACTCCGTGCCACGGATGGGTGTGGGGACAGATTCATAGATTAAAGATATATTGATACATTCATACACACAGAAACAGACCCTTTGGTCCAACTCGTCCATGCCAACTACACTTTCTAATCCGAACTAGTCCCATTTACCAGCATTTAGGCCATATCCCTCTAAACCCTTCCTACTCCTTGTGTATATTCAAGGCTGACATTGATAGATTCTTGATCAGTCAGGGAATCAAGGATTATAGGGAAAGGCCAGGAAAGTGAGAGATATCGAATCAGCCATGATCCTATTGAATGGAGCAGATTCGAGGGGCTGAATGGCCTCCTCCTGTTCCTATTTCTCTTGAGCTAATGGGAGCTAACAGAGGCTAATGAATCATGCAAAAAACGGCTACTTGAGTGATGTGACAGAGTGAGCACATCTGAATTATTGTCATCAAAGTAATGTTAATACACAAATGTTTAAAATTAACCCTCCCCTCTCTGGTTTCTATCACAATAGCCAGATCAGTGAAAGCACTGGGGAGTCTACAGCAATGTCTACTCTTGAGTCTAAATGAAGTCTCATCTCTAATGTGGACCCTACCCTTGCCTCTCTGTAAGTCAGGTACTTCTGGTTAAATCTAAAACCCCCTGCGCCCCCCACCAAGACACACGGGATGCGGGGGGCAAACTGCAATGCCTTATGAGGAGTTAAAACACAGAAACGAAAAGGGGAGTCTGCATTGCTTAAAAAAAATACATGCACGGTTATAGAGAGGGAAAGCTCCTATTCATAAAACAAAAGCAACCTGTTCCAGGAGCAAAAATCCATCTCTGAGGCTGGTAACTGTGCCCAGTCACGTCATGAACAACCCTCTGCCGCAGAATGATGAAAAAAGCGAGCGAGCAGCCTCAGACACCAGTACACTGTGTAGCTCTCTCACTGTGAGTCAGAAAGGGAAGGAAAAAGTATATTTGAGTGTGTATGTCTGTGTGTTAAAGGAAAAATCTAAAAAAAAAACACGCGGCAAGAGTTCAAGGACAAATGTGTGTCTTCATGTCTAGATAAAAAAAAATGAAATTATTTCTTGGGCATTTTAAGTCCCATGCGAGTGCGCGTCAGTGAGAGTGTGTATGTGTGTGTGTAAGAGACTGTGTGTGTGACACAGAGAAGCCAACATAGCGAGGAAAATCTTTTTTTGTCACTTTCCAGTGGAACTGCCGATTGCAACAGACCAAGGGAGCAAGATTTTGACTGGGATCTTGCAGTTAAGTGAGTATCTCTTTTCGTACTTTGCATATTACAGAACCCTTGATGTAAATCTTAAAAATAAAAATAAAATAATTAGCAATTTTGTAACTGGGTCTAAACCCCGCCGCGGGCAAGGGAGCAAATGCAAAAAAAACTCACTAAATGTTGGAATAAAATATTGTATAACTGGGCTGGAACCGGGATTTGTTTGCAATCTTTGTATCTAGACCATTGCAAACGAGATTCTTAACCTCAGGACTGCGAGGCATATGGGTCCATTGATACTGCGTTCTTGAGCAATGCCCATCGATCGGTGCCATGGAAATTACGGGTGACAGTTTCCTTTTGCACAGTTGTAAACAGGATATTGCCCCACTCTATCACCTCCTTTTCACTGCCACAGTTTCAGCCTTTTTTTTTAAAAAAATAAAAATAATCTGCTGTTGGAGATACAATCCAAGCCTGGCTGACTGTTGTTTCCTTTCGGCTCTTGTACCAAGGCAGTTTACCGAACAGCTCCTTGTTTCAAGAGACACACACACACACAACCTTGTAAATGTATTTGCAGACTTAGAAAGCAAGTTGGGGGTTTCTACAAGACACTGTCTCGAAAGACCACCATCCTCCCCTCCCTCACTGCATCCCGTCTGTTAACGTGACCGTATGTAACATTCGTTGCCAAAAATAAAAGGACCTAACGCTAGCTTCCCTGCTCCCTCTGTAACTGGCTGATCAGCTTTTTGCAAAATTCACAGGGGCTTTATTTGAAACAAATGCATTTAGCGACACTCAGTGAGCAGCAAAGCGATTGCATTGTACAACTGGTTTGGCTGACTCTCCCCATCGCTAGTTACAGCTATCTGTCTGTCATCTATTTAGCTGTCAATCTAGCCTTCTCCGTGTCTGCCTCATTTATTCACTTTTTTTTCCAGTCTGCACCCCTGTTTAGTGAGGGAACTGCAACACCGCCACGGGTGGGAGGGCGTAACTACAGCGTGACCAGTTTACATAGAGAGTTTCCATGATATGAGAATGTGTGTGTCTCCGTCTGCCCATTGTCTACCTTCCTTTGCTCTGACATCTGTCTCTATGTTTGCAGCTCTGTGAACCTACATCTCTTTCTCTCCATCTGTCTCTGCAGCTGTGAATGCCTTACATATGGAGTAGTTTCTGACATATGAATTGGACATAGGAAATTAAATGATAATGAATGAATCTGAAGGAAGGGGTTAAAAGACATGTAACCCGAGAATAGCAACATTTACACAGGCAGTTAATATCTTCAAATCCCCAGAATTGGTATTCTTAGTCCCATTCTTTATAGATTAGATTGTTTGATCATTGATTGACTCTGCACGGGAGTTCAATTAACATTGAGCAAGATTTATGAGAAGTAATTCCTCCCTGGTTGGAGTCTGTCCTTGCCAACCTGTTTAGAGATCTTATGCCACACCAGCAAGTGGGACTTGAACTGAGATTTCTTGCCTGCCTCAGAGGTAGGGACATTACCACAGTGCCAGAAGAACCTCACCCCCGCTCCCTGATTACAGCTACAAAATTCTATATCAACTGAAATCATTGTGCACCTGCCTCCCTTCAACTTTACATTGCAAATTCCTATGTTGACCGTTATCATGGAAATGGCCCAAACAAAATTGTCACATTATACCTGCCCATCACAGCACCACACCAATGGGAGGGCATAATCACTGTGTGATAACTTTACACAGAAAATACACATTATAAATGTGCACACGGACATTTGTAATGTCAATATGAATAATATGTAAATATACACAATACAGATTAAAGGGCAGAATGTATACAGTTAAAATAGGGATTGCATTGCCCAAATCTTCTCCAGCCTTCACCTCAACTTGACCTTAGGGTCAAATATGACCTTGGGTTCAGGGGTGTCACACCACAACAATGTACTGAATGTGTGCCAACCACCCTGCTAGCTTTTCCTATTGTGAATTCACAAGTCCCAGTTTGTAATGAAACAGTCCAATGTAAACATGGCGCACACTGTAGTTATACCTTCTGACCACTAGAAGTGCCATTTCTATTACTGTAAACATCAGAATATATTTAGAGGTCAAGTTGTCAGAAAATGGGGCTGCTCTCTCATAAGAGAGACACACTTGGTGGCTGTTTAATCTGAGAGATACCACACCTCAGGTGGGCTGAGAAGGACAGTCCTTCACGGTAACCTGGTATGGGAACTGAACCCACCTATTACTGTCACTAACTAGCCATTCAGCCAACTGAGTTAACCAGCCTCCTCAAGAATAGAGAATAGATACACCAACATGAGGGCAGAATGTGTGTCTTTAACATGATGACTGAATTTTGTTTACGTATCCTGGTCCAGTTATCCTAGCCCTTTGGTTCAGCTTCACCAAGTTTGGCCTTGCTTTCCCTGATTGATGAATAGAAACATTAACTGTACAGTGAAATGGATGCTCTAATTTCAATTAACTGTTCTTTGTCTGCCTGGTGCACACTCCTATAGTGAAGAGTTAGCATGTGTTGAGCAGACACACTGTTCCTATAATTTGATGCTGTTCCTGATCAGTTGATCTTCGTTATCCAAGTGCATTATTGTACAGGACTGATTAGACAATCCTCAGCATGCAGTGATCTGCTGCTCCATCTCATTTTTTGAAATTCATTCTTGGGATGTAGGATCAGAAGTTGCTGGAAAAACTCAGCAGATCTGGCAGCATCTGCAGAGAGAGAAACAGTTAGCATTTTGAGTCCGATATGACTCTTCTTGGGGACAGAACTTGTGTTCTGAAGAAGCATCATTATCGGACCCAAAATGATGACTCTGTTTCTGTCTCCACGGATGCTGCCCAGACGTGCTGAGTTTCTTCATCAATTTCTATGTTTGTTTCAGATTTCCAGCTTCTGCAGTATTTTGCTTTTACAAGAATTAACCATATTGGAGTGATGTGTAGGCCAGACTGGGTAAGGATGGGAGATTCTCTTCCCTAAAGTGAATCATTTAAAATGACAGAAGGATGTGGCTAGATGGTTGTGATTAGGCTAGCTTAATTCTGGACTTTTTAATTGAATTCAAATTTCACTAGCTGCCCTGGTGGGATTTGAACCGATGTTTTCAGAACATCAGCCTGCGGTTCTGGATTACTAGTCCAATTATCTGGTTGCTTTACATTTAATAATTATCTCTGAGACAACTATTTACATCCTATCAAACAGCTAGGCAGAATGAGACATAGCTCTACAAACATATATACAGAAATATATAGATGTGTATATGCTCTGATATAAACACACACAGATGGAAACATAGGAACAGGAGTAGGCCATTCAAGCCCTCGAGCCTATTCTGCCATTCATTAAGATTGTGGTTGATCTATGGCCTAAATCCATAAAACTGCCTTTGGCCTGTTCTCTTAAACCTTTGCTTAACAAATTTATCTATTAAAATTAACAACTGATCCTGTATCTGCTGCCATTTGTGGAAGATAGTTCCAAACATCCACTACCCTTTGTATATAGAAGTGCTTCCTAACATCTCTCCTGAATGATCCAACCCTAGTTCTGAGACAATGCTCCCAGTTCTAGAATTCCTAATTAATGAAAATAGTTTATCTACCCTGTCTTTTCCTATAAATATCTTGAATACTTTGATCAAATCAACCCTTAACCTCCTAAATTTGAGAGGCCTTATTTGTATAATCTTTCCTCATGATATGAATACACACATTCATATGGATACTTAAGCACACAGAGATATGCATAGTTAAACACCACTATTTAGCTACAATTGTCCTAACACACAGACACATGCGCACACACACACACAGTCACTCATGGATATTTGCAGAAGCACATGCACAAAGACATGGATAGGTATACCTGCAGAAACAACACTTCCTGACACATAAGTCAATTTACTCAGGGACACAGACACTACCCGGTAGACACTCACTGTCTCATACATCTTCAAACACACACAGAGGCTCAGATGCATGTAGATATACACATGGACACAAGCAACTTTCACAGGCCGGCACATTCCCTAGACAGTCACAGGGAAACACTGATAACTAGGTATGCACAGTCACAAACCTATGCACCGGCAATCCAATCACAGACACACTCTCATATGTGCTCACATTCTGACAGGCTCAGAAAAGACCGTAAAACCATACAAAATCGGAACAGGAGTAGCGTGTTCAGCTCCTCGAGTCTGCTTCGCTATTCCATAAGATCACAGCTGATCCGACATTTCTCATGTCCTCTTTCCTGCTCTTTCCCTGTAACCCTTCATTCCCTGACTGAACAAGAATCTATCTCAACCTTAAAGATATAAAGAGGACTTTGCTCCCTTGTCTGTGGCAAGGAGTTCCAAAGACTCACAACACTCTGAGAGAAGAAATTCCTCCTCATTACAGTCTTAAGTTGGCACCCCCAAACTCTCAAATTCTCTTCCTTACTTCACTGCACTTGTATTCAATTAAAGATCCACACTTTTACACACACACGCACATGCACACACACACATGCACACATATGCACACACACATGCACACACACACACATGCGCACATACACACACACATGCGTGCACACACACACAATTAACACTCACATTCAGGCACAGATCACACACTTCAGTGAAATAAATCTCACACACACTGAATTTCACAAGCATTTAGACATACAGACTGTGACTCCCGTAGATTTCACTGCAAGGAGGCAGTTTGCTGACAATACATGAGAAATTGCTGATATCTTTTATTTAATAAACAGTTTGAATTTTGAATCTATTTGAGGGGAGTAGGAAAATGTAACTAGAAAATGCTCCAATGCTTCCGTCCCCAATATGAAAGCTTCTCTCAAATAATACCTATTCCTGTTTAAAATTCCCAAAAATACGTAACCTACAGAGTCTGTTCCACTTGGGGAATTATGGACCAAATCTATTTTACTCAAAATTATTGATAATTTTTTTAAAAAAAGCTGAGCTCAATGCATTCTGTTAGTTAAAAAAGAACAAGGTATTAAAAATCTATGGACATATTAAAAACATGCTTCCATGTATAAAAACTCAGAAAAATACAATATGCAACCCTTTAAAACATATTCCAATAAATTTAACTAATACTAAAGTTGACAAGAATGAATTGTTGAAACTTGAATGCAAAAATTCAAACATTTTAAAGTTTTGCTTTGCTGCAATGCTGTATCCTCTGCTAGCTTTGCAGATTTCAGATGCTGATGCGGGGAATAGCGCAATATGAAATTCTATTCTTGCATCCAGTCCATCTTTTCCTGGATAATATACAAAACATACAAAGTTCTTTTTTTAGAAAAGATCCCTTATTTCTTCAGTGAAGTGAGGAGAGAGGAGTGAGTCCTTCTATTCCTCCAGCTCCTATTAAATTGCTAACATCAAAGGATAAAAATCTTTGCAGCTTCTTACCTGTCACAGTGTAAGCATTTAATGGCACACCTTGTCTTTATCTGTATTACATATATAAGGGGTATGCCCCCGAGTTAAAATACGTTTTTGCAATAAAAGTCTCACAAACACTTGAAATCAAATTCACCTTTGCTTCCCTTGTTTGTTTGTCGCAGGTTTTCAAAGAGAAGAGAAGGTTGACAGAAACTTTTTTTTGCTTTGGAAATCAATTGGGCATCTTTTCTGTCTTTTTTGGGGGGCAGAATCTCCTTTTCCTCCTCCTCTCTCTCTCTCCCCTCTTGGATTCAGGCTGCAGCAGAGACTCCTTTTCCATCTACAACCTTCGTCCCAATAGAAGTGAGAGAAGTAAAGGGAAAAGGACAGAGAGTGTGTGGAGGGTAGGGAGGGAGAGAGAGAGAGAAAGAGCAATGACGAGAGACACCTGACTCGAACTGCATCCTGATTTGAAGAGCGAACACGTGCTTTTGAAGAAGAGAGAGAGAAAAAAAATCTGTCACCCAGGCAAAAATCCTTCCCATATGATCAGTTCAGTTTGCGTGTCGTCTTTTCGTGGGAGAAAGTCGGGGAATAAACCTCCTTCCAAGTCATGTTTGAAAGCAGAGATGGGCAAGAACGAGGAAAGCGACAAGATTGTCATCAATGTTGGAGGCATCAGGCATGAGACTTACAGAAGCACCCTGAAGACTTTGCCTGGGACCAGGCTGTCTTGGCTGACAGAGCCGGACGCTTTTAGCAACTTTGACTATAATCCCAAGACAGACGAGTTCTTTTTTGATCGCCACCCCTCGGTGTTTGCCTATGTGCTGAACTATTACAGGACGGGCAAGCTGCACTGCCCGGCGGATGTGTGTGGCCCCCTGTTTGAGGAAGAGTTAGCCTTTTGGGGGATCGATGAGACGGACGTGGAGGCGTGTTGCTGGATGAATTACAGGCAGCACCGGGACGCGGAGGAAGCGCTGGACAGCTTCGAGACCCCAGAGCCTGACGACGAGGAAGACGGAGACCTCAAGAGACTGTGCCTGCAGGAGGACTCGAGCAGGAAGCTGGGCTGGTGGAAGAAACTCCAGCCCAAGGTCTGGGCTCTGTTCGAGGACCCTTACTCATCCAAAGCGGCACGGGTAATGTTTATTGTGTGTGTGTGTTATTTTATTCCCTCCCTCCTTAAAATGAGATGATTCACAGTCTGTGTTTGTGAAAACAAAAACACAATGTGTGGCCCTTTGCTGCTGGGCACTGGGTTTTGTTCCAGTGGGATTCTGAGTGCAAGGGAGGAAGATGAGAGGAAATTGGATATAGGGATTTGGGAGAGAAAACGGAGTCAGAACACTCTGAACAAGTGAGAGAAAGAGAAGATTGCGTATTCTGAGAGAAGGGAGATTGCATATTCTGAGAGAGATTGCATGTTTTGAGAGAGAGAAGATTGTTTTAAGAGCGAGAGAAAGATTGCATGTTTTGAGAGAGAAGGTTGCATGTTCTGAGAGAGAAAGAGAGATTGCATGTTCTGAGAGATTGCATGTTCTGAGAGAGAGATTGCAAGTTCTGAGAAAGAGAGAGATTGCGTGTTCTGAGAGAGAGATTGCATGTTCTG